ACTGTTGCTGTGCCCACCAGACCCTTCTCTGCAGTTCTGTTACCCAACAGTTTCTTCCCCATCTGGTATTTATGCACGTGTTTATTCGTATCTGTAAGCATTTGTCCATATTTTTTTCAGTCTGCATCTCCAGTTTGTCAAGGCGATTTGGAATGCTGAATCTGTCTTCCAGAAACTTTGCAGGCAATCCAAGCCTGGTGTTCCCTGAAGATTTAATAGCCTCCAGTCACTAGAAAAATGAAAATATCCATGAATATTGGATGTATTATTCCACATACTGTCTTTAAAAGTGCTGAGGGAGAGAATCGCTTCCCTTAATCTACTGGCTATGCTTATGTTAAAACAGCACAGAATACCGTGCACTGTATATACTTATTCTGTATATATTTACTGAACTACTTTATGTACTTAACTATTCATCTACTGTGGTAGTTCATTCTTTTTAAACAAGCTGTTGTCTTGGTGAAACCCTTGGAATTTACTTGTGTTGAATAGCACTGATACTCATTTTGCCACCAGGTTGTAGAAAGATGGTCCTGGGGTGGACTCGTTGGTCAAGTTCCCAGGTACTGCCATAGTGCATATTCTCAGGACTCTGTGTGCATTCCCTCTCCACTGCTTCTGGGGTTTTGGCTGCCTAGATTCAGACTGAACTTTTGCAGAGCATCTGGCTCACCTTAAATCGAATTGCTGTAACAAGCCTCGGAGTGGCTTGGATCCCCTACTTTCAGGAGCTGCTTCTAAGCTGGGCACTCACCCTTGGTCTCTACCTGAGCTATGCCTGTGCCTTTATATGTGCTTAGCTGATATGGATGCCAATCACGACCTGTGGACTTGAGCTCCTGGCTCGATCTTGGGCATGCATTATCTCTGTGGACTTGTCTGGCAATCACTGGACTGCTATCTGGCCCTAGTTACCATCACAGAGCTTATCTGCCATCCTTGCTCTTATGCTGTGGGGCCGCATGCCTGGCAGTGACCTTACTGTCCCTGCCTGCCTTGTAGTGATGCCAACTTCCTGGATCACCTTCCCTGATGGAACAGCTCCTCCTGCTGCTCCTTGACACACACAACAATTGTCACCTATGCTTCGTCCATAATTCTCCCTCTGGATTTACAGCATGTCGTGTAGCTTTTGAAATGGATGTACTGATAGCAGCCTCTCTATAAACAGCGTATGGGGATGTGCACTTTGTTAATCATCTCCATGAAGATCGGGAGTTCAGGTTCAGCTAACAACCATCTGATCTCTGTGATGTTGTTTTCGACTCATGGGTAGACAGTCTGGAAGATGGCCTAGGAGACCTCCATCTCCATCTACACTAAGGACTTCAAATTGGCTGCTTTGCAATCAAAGTATAGAGTTCACCATTAAACTAGAATCAATCAGCACTGGGATGGTAAGGCTACACAATGCAATGGAGGACCTTCTTCACAGGTGTTGGCACCCAGAATATGATATGAGGACATTTGGTGATAGGAACTAGGTCACTGCATAAAACCTTGAAGGTGACCTTTATGTCAGAATGTGGCACTTCCTGATGGTCCACCCAAGTCCACAACACAGTATGACCCCAAGAACTGGAAGGTCATTTTTCTGCAACATGAAGAAATTATCTTTCCTTCAGTAGCTCACTTTGCCCCTTCCTGGAGAAAAAGATTGGCATAGTACTTTCTAGATAATTCTTGAACATGAGCATAATTGAGAATACAGCAAGAGAGGAATCAAAAACAGCAGCTAGAATGGCAGCAATATCAGCTTGTTAGTTAGTTGCCAGACAGGGTTTGTTGGTTGCCAGATTTGGCTTTAGAGATGTGCAATGAGTATATGCATGTGAATTACTCCAAGTCTTTTGGACGTGAAAACAAAGGTCATTCCCTGGAATGGGCTGCCAGGACAATAGAAAGTTGCATGAAACAAGTGCAAGTGCTATAGTTTAATTGTTACACATGGGATGAATTATAAGATACAAATAGTCTACCAAAACTAAACTAATATTTAAGTAATTTTTAATTATTAAGATTTTAATAATTTTTGTAAGCAATTTGCTGACATGATCTGTGTCCAGTTCTCTAATTGTACCATTGTGCCTTAGGACAATATTGTAACTTGTTAATAGCTACTAAAAGATGTTAGTATATTGTTACATAATTTCATTAAACGTAGAACTAATATATCCTGTTGAAACATCGCCAGCATAGATGATATTTACGATACTTGTTTAGAACAGTCTCTATACTTACTGTTCTTCTTAATTAGTTTCTATAATCTAAGGATTGTACTGCTACAGGTTGATGAATCCGTTATCCTGATGATGGATGGATGCTGTGGCTCTGTGTTGCTGAGATCGAGCCAGTAGTGAGGCTGAGCACGTGCTCCTCAGCCCCATACACAAGCACATAGAGTCAGAACACTCAAGCACACAGCTGGTCATGCAGATCAGCACAGGAAGTACCTCACCCTATGTAACATGCCTTGAAAACTTAGCTGATGACACCATGAAGACATCAGAGTTAGCAAGACATCTAAAAACTAAGCACTCAGAACATGAAGACAAACCTCTACAATTTTTTTCAGCAATGTTTCAAACTATGATATTCAATCCAGTACTTTATAAAATTTCACTGAACTTAATGATAAATGTTAGAAGACTCCTATGAGGTCTCTTGCTTCATAGAAAAAGACAAAAAGCCACGTACTGCTGGGGAATTACAGAATGGTAGGGGTTGGAAGGGACCTTTGGAGATCATCTAATCCAACCCTCCAGCCAAAGCAGGTTCACCTAGAGCAGGCTGGGCAGGAACTCATCCATGTGGGTTTTTAATATCTCCAGAGAAAGAGACTCTACAACCTCTTTAGGCAGCCTGTTCCAGTGCTTTGTCACCCTCAAAGTAAAGGAGTTTTTCTTCATGTTGAGATGGAATTTCCTGTGTTCTAGCTTGTGCCCATTGCCCCTTGTCACCAGGCTCCACTGAGAAGAGTCTGGCCCCATCCTCTTGACACTTACCCTCAGACTGTCCCCCTGCTCCAGTGTGGGGGCCCTCTCATGGATTATACTCCTTCATGAACTGCTCCATCATGGGTCCTCTCCACAGGGTGCAGTCCTCCGGGAAGGGACTGCTTCAGCATTGGTCGCACACAGGTCCTGCCAGAAAATGTGCTCCAGTGTGGGCTCCTCTCCACAGGCTGCAGCTCCTGCCAGGAGCCTGCTCCTATGTGGGATCTCCACAGGCTGCAACTTCCTTCAGGACACATCCAGCTGCTGTGGCATGAGTTCTCCGTGGCCTGCAAGGTGCACATCTGCTCCAGTGTGGTGTTTCATGGGCTGCAGGGGAACAACCTACATCACCATGGTCTTCACCAGGCACTGCAGGTGAACGTCTGCTCTGGTGCCTTGAGCACCTACTCCCCATCCTTCTACATGTACCTGAGTTGTTTCTCTCATATTTTCTCACTCCAGCCTGGTAGATTAATAAAAACAGAGATGAGAAGTGGGCTGGCTGCAGTCAAAGCGAAGAAAAAAGGCAGTAGATCAGCTCCAGATCATGCCACAATGATCAGCAAGAGCAAATTGTGTGCCTGCTTTATCAAATATCTGGTAGGAATGAGTTGCCAATCAGTGCAAACCGTTATTTACAGTTGGCTTTGGTGCAATTGGTCCTTAAAAGTGTCGTTAGGCAGCTGGCTGCAGAATTTGAATGCTTAAGGGCTAGCACTTGTGACTGGTCAGTATATAAACAAAACACCACAGATTCAGGGGGGTGAAAGAAAAAAGAAAAAAAAAAAAAAAAAGGGCTGTAAAGCAAGTGTACCAGAGCATCCAGTTGCCTGATGGCTCCTTAAACCTTTACATTACAGAATTCTTCATTACCAGGATCACATCCAAGTCAAGCAAATTCCCAGTTTCTTCATGATTCCACATCAGGGTCATAATCCACTCATTTGTGCTTCTATTACTTTATACCTCTGGTGACTTCAATTTAATTAATTTGGATCTAAACTAGAAAGTCCAGGCTAGCCCAGCATCTTTTACGTGTATCTAGTTCTGACATGACAGTTTCTATGGTGAAAAATCCTGGCTGGCAGCTCTCGAAATTTGGGGTTGCTCCAGATTAAGACCATAGAGTGTCCTGCAGGACAGGCAGACATTAAAGCTATACATATGGCTTCCCCAACGCTGAAAGGTAAAAAAGTACTGGATAAAATGAGAATGAAAGAAATGAAATATGTTACATAGAGGATAAGGAAGGAGAAGATCGACTTGATGGCACGGATATGGGCCTCTAAGCTGGGATCCTGGAAGCCAGTTGCATTATTTTTCATCTGTCTGGTGTGTATTGACAGAGACCTAACCAGCAGGATACTCGAAACAACAAACACTATTAAAGGCAAAGCTATGCCTGCGTTACAGAGAATAATCAATAAAAAAACCCTAGTTTTCACTTTGACTCTTCTTTCCGAAGAGTTTGTCATGGTTAAAGGAGCAGTGAAGTTGTCCTGTACGATGTAGACATCCCAGGCGAAAGGAAGAGAGGTTGCAAAGGAGAAAAGAGTTGATATTATCAGCATCCAGGGCATGAGACTGGAAATCCTTTGCTTCAGCCAGATGAAGATAGACTGAGTAAAAGTAGCAACCTTGATACAGTAGAAGACACTAAGCCAGGCAGCAAACCAGAAGCTGGAGTAGTTCAGAAACACAAAAACTATCTTGAAAATTGCAAACAGATTTTCTTCATAATAGGAGGTTTCGCAAAGCAGACTTAGGAGCAAATCAAACATCATCCAGAACTGCAAAAAGAATCGGGATAAACTCAGAAAGATCATAATCATATCATACGAGGACAACATTTTGCTCCTGATGCAGCTAGTTGAACTGGCAGCCAAGATAGTTCCATTTCCTAGAAGTCCTGCCACAGATTCAATTATAGCAACTGTTAGAAAAAGGAGAGAAACTGATGTGAACATAGCAACTCAAGAAATCACAATCTTCACTCAGCTTTTCATGGGCTCCTGAAAGCCTTAAATTTGCAGGGCAATGCCAATCCCAACTAGCTGTTATCAGCACATGCTCACCTATTTATCTCAGAGGAAGTATCAAGATAAGCAATTTAATATTTACATTATTTTACATATTTTATTTTTGGTTTTTAATAGCTCAGCTGCTTTCTCTAAGCATGCAAAATGGATAAAGATTCAATTACAGCCTTTTCAATTGAGAGAAAGGATTTGCATACCAAGTTAAAGAATTGGAGTCTTTCTTCCCATTATGACAAAAACTGTTCCCATTATGACATAAATGGAGGTCACAGTAGTGGTTTGGAGAGGATTTTTGTATGGCATTTAACAGAGCTGGTGAAAATTCAGGATATGCCAATGACCTCATGATGTGGCATTTTCACCATCTGTGAAAAATGGTGAGAGGTTTGGTCTGTCTTCTGCCCCTCCATGGTGTCCCCTCACTGGCCTTAAGGAAAAAAATCTCAGATCTCTCTGATCACAGGAACAAGAAAGGGACATGAAGTATGCTCAACCCATAAACCATATCTTTCCCTGCTGCAGGCTGAGCTGTAAGGTACATGGCTGCTTTGCAGGGGTACACTGAACAGCCTCTATCATGTAATTTGGTTTACTTCACATTATTTCTTTTCCATTTCCCCCCCGGGAAAAAACCCAAACCAACCCATGTACTGGTAGGAAAATAATAGTTACTAGAGTTATGAGTCTTTGATATCATGCAGCCTGTCTAATAGCAAGCTTTTTTGTCTTTTCTCTGTTTTGTTTATAAGCTGGAAGTTGGTTTGAGTGTCCTGTCTTAAAATTACCAATTTGCAACCTGAAGGAAGTTTGAAATTCATCTTATCAGACCCTTCTAAAACATCTCAACTATTTCCACACACACCAATGCTACTTAGAGGCACTGGCAGCTCTATTTAAAATCTGGTATGGTAAATCAAATCAAATCAGGAAACAAGCAAAGTTCAAAACTTATCCTGTTCTAACACTAGCAGAATTAAATTATACAAATCACATTGTCTTGTGGCTTTTTTCATTGAGGATCCAGAAAAAAAATGTACAAGATTTTCTAGAAAACGATTGAAACATAGCATAAAACTAAGATGCCAGTATTTGAAACAAAGCTCTGTTCCACTAAAGAGACTTTTCTGGATTACTGTAATTTACTAGTTTAATTAGAAGCCTTTCTTTAATTAGAAGCAAATTCCTTGTAAACTCTATGTTGTGATTTCTGCTCCCTGAGGGAGAAGTATGCTACAATCACAACATTATGACTATATTTTTACAAAGTATATGTTCTTAAGATTCCTTTGTAATGGACAGACAGAAAATTATTTCTGTTATACTGCATGGGACTGAGGACTATCAGATACTGCTAAAGCCATACACAGAAAAGGCCCTGAACAAAATGTTTAAGAAAAGAGGTCACAGTCAGAACATCAGTTTTGTGATAATATCAATGTATTGTATTCAAGTAGCCTAAAGATGAGTGGGAAATCATAAAATCATTTATAATGATAAAAAATAACCAGTGAGTAATTCAGAGGAAAAAGGACAACAGCCCTCATTTCTTTTCTAAATCACAGTCTGGTCTCTTTTCCAAGTAATGAAACAGTAATTTGGTTCTAGTCATTAGCTCAAGGCAAGAAATGCAAAGATGTGCTATGCAATTGACGGATCACTACAGGATCATTTCTGATTTGCATACCTGTAAGAACAGCTGTAATTTTCATAACTGAAATCCTAGAAAACCTGCTATGGACTCTATTTTCAATGCCCATCAGAACATGATTTTAAGAAGTAGGAAAACCTGTCAATAGTACACAAATACAGCTCATTCCTCACATGCCTTCCTGAAATGAGCACTGCATGTGTACACCAACATATACATGCACATGTACATATTGGCAACCAGGCACCTTGTACGATGCTTCTTTGTACTTTTGCATGTGCATGTAGAAATGAAAGGCAGGGCTTCGACATTAAACTGGATAGCTACTTAAACCAAAATATACATATTTTAAAAGGGCATAGTTTCTTCATTAGACTTCATTTTCTTTCATCTTGATGTGGCTTAATTTGTGGACATATGGAAATGCAACAGTTAATCATGCCCAAAACAGCCTATGTGATATGGCAGGGTGTAAGACTCTTATACAAGTCCAATTTTGCTGCTTAGGCCAATTCACTGAGCTCTCTTTGCATCCCCCTTCTTATTTCTTACTTCTTACTTAAGCAGGGATACCTCTTAGAACAGTATCTTTGTTGCATGAAAGGGAGTTAAAATGATGATACCTATGGTTAGCATTTGAAATATTTTCCTCTATCCTATGAAATGGAATCTTTTTCTTTCCTCTTTGTCATCTGGAATGGTACACCAAGCTCAGAGAGGAAAAATGGGATTTCTATTATCTTCAGGTTGTTGCAGAGATATGTGTTGAATGAATCTGAAATACAACATGAACAGAAATTCCATTTTATTGTGATAGTACATATGTGTTTGTGAATTCCCAGGAGCAGTTAGCATCAGGAAGGAAGGAAATTTCTGCTAAAAGGAGTTGTCATCTAAACACAATTTGTTGAAACAGAGTCACAGTAAGGCTATATCTGCAAGTATATCTTACATGCATATGGATTCCTAGATCACTTAATTTAAAGGGCAGAAAAAGAGACCTGAATAGAAAACCTCATCTTTCCCAGAAACAAAATGTTCGTTTTAACACATCTCAGCTTCTGTGTGGTTTTGCATTTGTGTGTGTGTGTGAAAAGCTGTCTTGAAAGTACATATTTGCCAAACCCATTTTCTACAAAAATAACTTCTGTAAAGCTTCTAAATTTAAACTTCTTCATTGATACAGACACTCAGGTTTGAAACACTGAAGTTACAGACATCAGTCTTGTAAGGTATAAGAGCTACCAAACTCTTTTCCAACATTGTTTGAACAATGAACGAAGAAGATCCCACTGCATAAGAATAAGGCATGAAGTAATTCACTCTCTAAAGTGGGGAAAGAGTTGAAAGGGAAGACAAACATGAGACATACTAAGTGAAGGACAGAGAGAACAAAGGGATCAGAGGACTGAATGAAAAAAGTAGACTGTTGTATGGCTGGTTATGAGTACAAGAGACTAGTGATACAAAGGGAATTAATTAATTAATTGGTGGAACTTTCCTTAATCATCTATATTGGAATTCTCTCAGCATCTAAGTATGTGTTTCTTCAGAAGTTATGTTGGAGGTCACCCCATTTTTCAACTCCTGGACAGGTAAGATCATCGAAGTCATCACTATTTGACACATTCCTTCCAACCAGAGGCAGGAGCATAAGGATACATTATATAACCTATATTATTTCTCAGTGGGTTGTGTCTTTTATAGCAAAACTTGGTCATCTTCTGGAAGAGGGGGGCAGCATGTTCACATACGCTCCAGTTGCTAGAAGAGCAATATAGACCTTCTCAGGAAGGAAGAAAGTAAGGGAAGGGCATTGAATTATAGAAAAATTTCAAATACATATGGATTTTCCCTGAAAATTTGAAAACAATTAAGACTGTATTTTCAAAGGAAATCACAGCTTTTGTGCCTATCATCTTTTAGCAGAGTAGTTTGGTCTTGTAGTTAAACCATAAATGAGGCAGAACTTTGTATAATCCTGTGCTCATTAAACACAAATGATTCTCAAGGGTTAAGTGGATAACCTGAAACTCTCTACATACTTTTTAATGTACCTAGTATTTTAATGAATGACTAAGTGTAAGGTAATCTTTCCAGTTGTTTTGAAAATCCTTTATACAGTTATTATATAACTGTATAATTATATGGTTTGAATGCAAGTTCTTACTGTAAATGGTATTATAGTTCCCCACTATATACATTGTGTTTACATACTGTTTCAGACTTTTTATAGATTATTTCATAAATTTTAATAAATTTAGCTTTTGCATTTGTGAGGAAGACTTTTTATGATTAAATAAAAGTAAACTGTCCTTAGTCCTTTTTTTCTTTTCATCAAATAACACCATGTTATGGATTAAAGCGTCTGCATCTCATATCCAAGTTTACAGGCATATGGCATCTGTGTGGATTTTTTTGCAGACTATTTTTTTCAAGGTTTCCTGACAACAGTGACTTTGAGAATTTCGAAAACAAGATGACTGTTATAACTGCTGTTATCTGGTGTAGTTTATCTTTACTAATGGGTTAATCAAAGCACTTACGAACTGTGGTGCGCGCCTGCTCTCTGACCACAGCAAGAACTCAGAGATATCAGGGCTACAGGTACTACAGATAGCTACATGTTTAGGAGAAGACTACAGAGGAATTAACTTGAGAAGCAGTATTATCAGTCTCGTATATGGACATCATTATGCAAGTAGGTTTGATATTCTTGAGCCGTAACTTTTCTCTGGTTATTGTAGAACTTCTTTACATTTTCGTTTCTTGCCAACAATAACTCATGCTAAAGAAGGGTAGTGTCAAATATAAAGATAAGTCATTGTCACTCTGTTGGGAGCAACAACCATAATATTTCTGCAAGCCAGAACAGCGCTTAACCCTCACTATTTCCATTATGTAACATGTTGCAAGAAAGCCAGATTTGAAATAGAAGTTAAAAAAAAACACTGGAAGAAGCTCCTAAAATCTTCTAGATCTCTCATTGCTTATCTTTGAAGTTTCTTTGTGTCTGGAGTTTCAGTTTCGCAAGCACCAAAAAGTACTCTATACTATTTCTGACTCGAATTCTGGTGGAATAAATAAAAAACCCTAGGTAAAGCAGCACATACATTTGCCATGCATTACGTTTGCCCTGCCCACATGCAGCATAAATCAGTAGAGCTGAACAACTTCAAAGATCTAATCACAGCTGCGTTATTTTTGTTAAGAGTTAGTAAGAGAGGACTGTGGTTTTCCTCCTATTCCTTGCCTGCTCTCTAGAATACTTCTTCAAGGA